ACCAAACTCATCTAAAGCTTCTCTTCCCCTTCACAACAGCAGTGGTACCTGCAGCACCCATGCTCCTGTCCCAGTAACTCTTCCTGCTACTTTATTTTCCATAATCCTAAACTCGAGCCATGCTGAGATGGTCCAACATTGCATCCAGCACCCAACTGCTCCTCCACCCACACCAGACTGGGACCCTGTGCCACTGATTCATGGTGGAAGCTTCCGTGCCTCAGTTTACCCAAGTGTAAAATGACCGCAGAGCTCACACGGGGGCTATAAGGCTTGTCTCTGGTTCTGGAAATCCTTTGGATTTCTGGAAATCCTTGAGCTACAGGCTCTGGAAGAGGTGGGATGCACTGTCACCACCACGATGCTGTGTCACCACTGGGATGCAGTGCCACCACCACCCACATCCCAAGGCGGGTGACCTGGAGACACGTGGGCAGAAGATGCCAGCCCATAGGAAGGGAAACTCTCCTCGACTCCTCATTCCCCTGCTCCCATCCGACCACAAGCAGCTTTTCTCACCACGGTGGAGCCCGTCAAGCTTTGGGCAATTCTCAGGCGTGGTACCCTACAAACCAAACCCATTTTCAGGAGCGATGAGCCAGAAATGATCCGTGGAGAGGAAACAGCTGATCTCCCGGCGCTGCCTGATAACCCTGGCGTGCAGGTGGCCACCAGCAGCATCCCTGCCTCCCAGGACACCCAGCCAAGAGATGCTGCCCCTCTTCCCCCACCACCTTCCTCCCAGCCCCACTGCAAGCTGCCCTAACCTGGAAAGGACCCCGGGGTTTAAGGCAGCTCTCAAAGGAGGCATTTGGAGACAGCAGCTTTCTGGGGAAAGCATTCCTTAAAATGCAGCTCTTTCCTTCTGCCTCACCCCCAGCTTTTGACATTTCAGAGCTCCAGAAAAAAAAAAAGTTTCAAAAAAAAAAAAAAAATATCTAATTTTCAGCTTTGGAGGCACAAAACCTCAGCTAGGGAGAGCTGGTTTCCAAGCACCCAGGTGGAGATGGAAAGAGCAGTGGTGGCTGAACACAAGACACCTTTCAGAGGGCGAGATCTATCTCTGGAGTGGGAAGTGACCCTCGCACCCTCCATGGCAAAATCTCTGGGAAACATCCATCCCAGGGTGCCAGGACGATGGGCTACTATTTTTCAGGCACCACTTGCCTGTTCTCCAGCTCCTGGGGCTTCTCCCCATCTGCCTCCCTCTAGGAATTTCACATGGGAATGGCTGTCAGGAGTGACCACAGGACCAGATTAGCCAGGGCATCTGTCCCCTGGGGCCACAAACCCAAGGAGACAGGACACTCTCACACCCCACATTTGAGATGGAAGAGGGGAAGCAAAACACTCCCCCAACAGCGAGGAAGAACAGGAGCTGCTGGGCTCCAAATTTCCCTGTCTAGGGAAAAATCAGCACTGGGATATTTTTTTTCCAGCAGAGAAAAAAGAATTTGGATTGCCCACACTGGCAGGATCCATTGGGTTTATGTAAATTTTTTTTTGTTTGATTTGGAGGAAAAGGAAAGTTTGGGAAGAAAGGGGGGACAGGGGTGCAGAGCCCATGGGGCTGCAGCTCAGGTGGGAGCAGCGAAGCAGCCGGGATGGAGATGGGGGGGCAAGTTAAATTAATTAATCTAGGGAGGCAAATGGAGTCGCAAGGCCTTTTAAGACAGCCTGAAGAGGCGGATGAAATATAGCCATCTCTTGCGAAAAAATACTTGACATTTCTCCAAAGGAAGGCAAGCTGGGAGAGGGAGCTGTGTGATGATGGAGACGCCAAAGGGACTTCATCTGTCCTGGACAGCCCAAAGGCTGCTCCTTCCATCCCCAACTCACATGGGAGATCCCAGTGGGAAAACACAGAGGGCAGGGATGCTGTCGGGAGAGAGAGAGAACTGCTCGGGAGGAGCCGAGGGATGCTGTCCTGATTAAAAGAAAAAATTCTGGCAGTGTCACCACTTGTCCCCCCCCGGGGACACGCATCACGGCCGCCAACCAGGTGCCACCATTAAGGGCTGCTGTAAAATGAGCTCTTCATTCCACTCACATGGCACTAGCGAAGGCAAAATACCCTCCACAGGCTCCAGTCCGAGGACAAAACCCTTCAAGCCACGCTCGCTGCCCTGCCAGCAGAGAGAGACGTGGTTTGGGCAGATGAGACGTGACGCAGGATGGACAGACAGACAGACTGACCTCCGAGGAAGTGGCTGTGGGCAAGGAGCACGATCCCACAGCAGCCCCAGAGGAGCAGCTTGGGATGAACAGGGCATGTGGTTAACCTGGAGGGGCTGCAGAAATCCACCTGGGATTAGCTGAGGGTGATGGAGCCACTAATGAGCATCTTTAAGAGGTCACGGAGTACGGGTCAGATTCTAAAAGACCAGAAGAAGACATACAGTATCTGCCCTTAAAAAGAAAACTCGGGGAAAACCACTGAAATACATAAAAAAAGCAGTCTACATGAACACACACAGAAAATTCCATGGGATAAGAACCAACCAGCATGGGTTGGGACCTCTGCGGTGGGTGGACAGGAGAGGAGCAGATGGGACCTATCAAGGCTTCAATGCTACCATCAGGAGGTGCTCACCGGTGTCCGTGGGCTGTGCCGAGACCTCCGTGTGCCCCGCTTTCCCCACGCAGACACGGGGCACGCTTGTTTAATCTGCTGAACATAACTCAGACGAGGGGAAACCACAAACTCTTTGGAGAGCAAGGCTTGGAAACAACACGGCATTGAGGAACTGAAGAAAGAGCTGGAAATACTGCAAAGGGAAATCCACCAAGGATTGTGGGGCAGCACCGAGCTTGAGAATAATCAAATGAGCAAAAAAACCCCAAGAATTAGGATCTTTTTCAAAGATGAGCAGAGTGAAATCCAAGCTCAAGGTGAGCGGGCAGCAGCAGGCTGTGGTGGGGTGTCTGGTGTCCCCTCTGAAGCCTGTGGCACATCCTCACAGTGACGTGGGTGAAAGGAGGGGAACCCTGGAAGATGGCAACAAAAACATTCACAACTCCAGAACACACAACTTTTGATGGAAGCTTCAAATGAATGGATCTGCTTAGTCTGGATGAGAGAAGAGGACGGTGAGAGGAGACACGACAGCGAGCCCAAAAATAGGGAAAGATATTGGGAAAGAGCTGGTGCCGGAGCGGGATCACAGAATCTTCTAGGTTGGAAGGGACCTTAAAGATCATCTTGTCCAACCGTCAACCTCACTGACAAAAATAGACACCCACACAACAAACAAGGAGCATCATCACTAAACCATACCTCCCAGCACTACATCAACCTGTCTTTTGAACACCTCCAGGGACGGTGCCTCAACCACCTCCCTGGGCAGCCCATTCCAAGGGCTGAGAACCCTTTCAGGGAAAAAATTTTTCCTAATATCCAGCCTGAACCTACCCTGATGCAGTGGGATGGGGACCTGGGAAGGGATGCTTTGCTTTAGGAGCATCCCTGCGCGGGGGCAGAGCTGCCCCGGGCTCCCTGAAAAGAAGGGCTTGGAGAAAAGCTGAGGGACACATCTGCATCCTGCCCCACACCCCGACACCCCCCAGCTCAGAGCTCTGGGATGCAACCCCCAGCTGGGAATGCCGGGGAGCAGCCCCTGCATCCTCCTGCTCTTCGGGCTGGCTGTGCTCAGCCCAGACTATCACTTTTTTTTTGGGCTGGAAATAGCACCGGCGCGAGCCCTCAGCTGGGCAGCAGAGCGCTTGAGAGTCCAGACTGCGGTTAAACTATCAAAGACAACTAAAAAAAGATATTCCACACACACAGGGTTCCTTATTTTTTTTTGTTCCCCCCCCCCGCCCCTTTTTTTTGTTTTGTTTTTTTCTTTTTTTTTTTTTCCCAAGGATTAAATCAACTCAACAGCCCCCTTTACAACTTCCCTTTTGATGTGTTCAGACTCATTAAAGTTTCATTTCTTTCTCTGTTTTTTCCCCCGGGGGGGGATGGGGGGTGAGGGGAGGAGGAAGGGGAGCGCACACACAAAAGTTTACTTCAGAAGCGGGGCCGGCAGCTGCAGCACCAGCTGCTCTTGCTGTGGGACAAGCGGAGCCTCCTCTCTCCTCACCCAAATCCCTCGGCAAAACGTGGCCTCAAGCAGCCACCTGCCAAATTTTGGGGTCCGACCCTGCACGTTTTAGGGTCCCTCCCCAACCTGCCTGGTTTCCCCCCACCGGCAGCACCAGCCTTTCCCCCCCTGCCTTCATCCATCACCCCAGGATAATCCCCCCTCCCTAGTGAACCCACGTTTTTTTCTCTGCCCGAGCAGCTGTTGAAGTGTCTATTTTAAAACCCAGTTCCCTATTTTAAAATAGCTAATGAGACACCGATCGAGGCCGAGAGACACACATCAGCTCTGCAAGGTCCAGGAGGCACCTGCCTATTCGCTGGGCTCTTTTACCCAAGCCCCAAATCTCGGCATGTCCATCACGTTCCCAACACACACACAACCAGCTTCACACAGCGAAAAGGGAAGTTTTTAATTTAAGGGCCAACTCCTGCACCCCTGCCGTGAAACACCAGCAGTACAGCCACGTGGTTCTGGATGGAGACACATCAACCAGCCAGGCAGAGGCTGACGTTCTGGGGTGGTTTTCTGCTGGTATTTTTATTTATTTTTTTTATCCTCCCTTCGATTTTATCAGGTCTTTCTCAAAATTCCCCCCACTGAGGGCTGGCCTGCCTGGCACAGCTCCTCGCTGCTGCCCAAGAAAAGCTGGGAACACACCAGAAGGACTTTCAGAAAGTGACTGTCCCATGGCAGGAGGTTCTTCTGCGTCCCCTTTACGTGCTCCCCGAGATGGTGTCCACCCCACCCAGGTAGATGGGACCCCATGGAGGGGACCAGCCAGAGGGGATCCATGGAGACACCACCGAGGGGACCAGCCAGAGGGGACCCACACTGGGGACCCCACGGAGGGGACCAGGCAGAGAAGACCCATGGAGGAGACACCACGGAGGGGACTGGACCTCACTGGCTTACCTGACCACAGGCTCGGGGATGGCCTCAGCGCTTGCTGGCACCTGGACACCCTTCTCCCACTCCTGCCTCCAGGGATCAGCCAGGACGTAGTACTCGTCGGGGCTCAGCTGGAAGGAGTCGGGGATCTTCATGGCCGTTATCAGATCCGTACGGAAAACCTACAATCGGAGGCAAAAAAAGACAAACAAGCATCCAGCACATGGGGTTGGGCAGAAGCAGGGTGTGAAGGTGCCCTGGGGAACTGGTCCCCAAGGGACAGCGTGCACCCCCAACAGTATGGCTTCGGGGTGTCATTTTGTCACCTCCAGGGTGAGGTCTGGGCAGGAGAACAAGGCACACGGGCAAGGAATCCCCTGCTAAGCAGGGGATTCCTTGCCCGTGTGCCTTGTTCTCCTGCATCAAGGAATCCCCTTGCCTCAAGCACCAAAAGCCCAAGCCCCCGCAGCTGCAACCCCTCTGAGCTCCCCCAGCCCAGGTAAGACATGAAATCCAGCCCAAGGCTGCAAATTCAGCCCAGGCACGGACTGAAAACTGGGTAAAGAAACAACAGGCTGCCTTCTCTTAGGGGATCAATGTTTCCTACACAGGGCACAATGTAGGATACACGGCACCAAGGGATGCAGGGCAACTGGGCTTCCACACAGTCAGCCTTACTGGGAAGGGGGGGGAAATTATGGTTTTGCCATGAATGAAGCTGTGGGGAACAACAGAGCCACCTCATCACCCTGAGCACCTTCATGTCCCCATCGTTACATCACCTCATTGCCCCAAGCACCTTCACATCCCCATCATCCTGTCCCTCACAGCCCAAAGGTGAAGGTCTCCCCCCATTGGGGCTCGGTTGCTCCAGTGGAGCAAAAGGCAAAAAATAAAGCCAGGCTGGGTTATGCTAAAGCTGGAAAATATCTGACTAAACAGAGATCCAGGTGCCTGCTTCCATACCCACAGCCAAACACAGGGAGATTTTTCCTCACCCAATAAACCTCCTGTGAGACCAACAAGGGACCCCTCCTCCACGGAAAGCCCCCAGCCCCTTGGCCAGTGAAGGGGCTTGCTCTGGCCCTGCAGAGCCTTCCCCCAATATGCTATGATGAAAACCATATTCCAGAAGAAAAAAACCAACAAAACCCTCACGGTAAATAAGGTTTTCCTTCCAGAGCATTGCCTGACAGCAATGACTCGAGCAATCCTGCCTCTTGCAGCATGAAAATAAATTGTAAATGAAAATAGATGATTTCTCCTCTCTCCCATCTGCTGAGATAACAACCGGTGGTGCCAGCAACCGTGTCCGGACACCGACCCGCTCCGTCCACTCCATCCCCGTGACTTCTGCGGGGCAAGGATGGACCAGGTGTTTTCTTCAGACGCTGTTTAATCTGTTCTCCAAACGAGGATTGCTCTTTCAGAACCCCAACAAATGACACAACACGGTTTTACACTTTCGATAGGAAGGTTAACGCGCTTTGGAGAGTATTTGGGAAACCCAAATCGGCTGAGAAGCAGGAAACTAGACATTAACTAAGACCACTGAGACCAGTATTTAGGTCAGTTTGTTTAATCCTCAGAGTCTCAGCTGCTAACCCAATTAGAGTTAAATACAATACATAAACAACCTTTTCTATGTTGGGACCTCTCTGAATCGTACTGGTACCTTCCTCCCACTGCATCTGCTTGGAGACATTTTTGACTTGATTTGAGTTGGCCAGACGCAGCCTCAGCGCATCCTTCAATAAACATAATTAACAGCCTACATATTACAGACAGAATTAGGCTCAGTTTGCACAAGATCAGGTTCCTTCGAGTCTCCATGTGCTACAAAATGCATGGCTATGGATGCCACCAACCCTCTCAGCCTGTCCTCCCAGCAGAGGGGCTCCTGCCCTTGGAGCATCTTCTTGTGCACATCTCTTTGAGGTAACACGTTCGGTGGGTGGCCAGGGTAGACCTATGTCAACATCTGGCTCATCACCTCCCTCCTACCCATGAAGAGGGAGACGGAGGAGCCTGAACCAACATGCCCTGTCTGGTTGCCCTCAGGGCTGCCGTCCACGAGCAGGAAATAAAGCAGTTCCCTCCGACCCCGGTGTTGGAAAACTAAACACATTTCGTTTTGCTTACAGCTATGACTTAGATAATTTCTTTAGGCTGTTTGCTGGGGTCATGGCCATCTCACCACCACTCCGACCAGCAGGACCAGCCTCACCGATGCTCCCCAACACCCTCAGCAGATGCAAAACCCTCCAGCAAACCACCCTGAGTACCCCACAGCGCTGGAAAACACAGCAACGGGATCAGCCCTCGGTATAATTTCTCCCCTCTACACGCTGCGGACCCCAGGCTCCTGTTTTCCTGCATTAAGTCTTCCCCAAATTCATCCCTTCTGGCTTTTCAGCTTACATCAGCAGAGCAGCTTACGTTTTAATTTTAAGCCAAATAAGCACGATTGTATCTATTTCCCTGAAGATGATAAGGCGCATCGCGGGCTGGATTTGCAATCTCACTACTTCATTTATTTAGTCCTTCTTGGAAAACAGATAAGCTGGCCCATCCAAAGGCGGCACACGCGCCCGCACTTTATCGCAACGATGCCTCTGTCTTTTCATGAAGAACTGGAAACGCTCAAATTATTAACTATCAAAGCAGAACACTTTAGAAATGATAGAACGGCACCGAAATTGTAAAGGAAAGCAGATCAGTTGTCTGGAAATCTCCCAACAGCTAATACGCTCAAATTGTAATCTAAATGTCTTTTTGTTTTGAATTGTCTGGGATTAGGGTTGGGAAAAGACTCAATTATTCTACTCAAACTCTTCTGAATTATTTATGAAAACCAAATAAAGGATAAATTGGGCACTGATGAACCGAGGACCTGGCGGCGAGGAGAAAGTTGGGTACCAGAAAACAAGCAATTTTCCCTCAATAGAAGTGTTTACTGTTTCTCCGCGGCTGCAGGAGCGGACAAATTGTCTCCCAGGCTGGGCTTGCTCCGGTCCCTGCTCCCACCACGGCCCTGGCCAGGCCCCAGCCTCCCCTTCCAGCCCGGCACCAGCTCCCAGTTTATTGCCTATCGATCCACCAGTGATGGGGAAAGTCACACCAAGATCTTCCCTTTATTACCTCTGCTCGCTCAGGAACCTCAGGCAGGTTCCAGCGATGCTCAGAGACACATCCCGACCATGCCCAGGGTAGCTGGTAATTGAGGGTAGCCCTTTGCTACCCTCAGCTTTGAAGATGGAGGAAAAAGAACATGAAATTGCCAAAATCTCAAGATATTTTTGCCTTTGTACTTCCAAGCCAGAGGGACCAGGAGTCGGGGTCGACGTGTTCGTGGAGTCTCAGAGCTCAGAGGCAGGAGAAAGGCACATGGAGGAAACCTCCCCATCGATCCCTGCTGATCCCACAGCCACAAACGATCAAAAAACCAGAGTTTTTTTCAAGGTTTTCTTCACATTTTGGTTCAACACTTTTTTTCACAGTCCTGGAAGCCATGTCCCATGCACCCCCCACCCTGGCCATAACCCCCTTCCTCCACCCACACCGGGACCAGGGGTGTCCCCAGCTCCCTCCTCGTTTGCAGCCAGAGCCATTAGCCCTTCACTCTCTCAAGCATAAAGTTGTTTGTTGTAGCTCATGAGTCACAAGGATTTTTAGAGAAAGAGAAAACAACGGGAACAATGGGAGCCCTGGGAATAGTTTTGGGTTGTACAAACTGTCTTCGTATCGGCTTGCGCCGTCACCTCGGTGGGTGCAGCCCTCGGCTGCCCCTCCTGCCCCCCAGCCCTATTTCCCTGCCCTTACAGCACGTTTTTTCCTGCCTTTTCCATAATGAAACAGGCGGAGATACTCAGTAGCAAGGCTCCGAAACGTGGCAATGCCTGGTGTGTGTTTGTAAGCAGCGATATGATCTGCCTGTGGGGAAAAAAAAATACTTACTCTCATGTTCATTTGGGAGCCAGCCTGCTATCTCTTCATCTAGTCTTGCTTCCTCTCGAAATGCTGAATGTTAAAGATTCAATGAACAACAGAATTTAAAATAGGAACAAGCAGCAATTTCGTCTGGCCCTTCTCAGCACCCAGAAGACAATGGCATTAATCTGGTATCCCCACGCCGGTTTGGGAAAAGTGACAAAGCCACTGCAGTCAAAAATTTCAACAGAGAGGGATTTTCTCCTCATCCAGCCCAGTAAAAGCACGTCCAGTCTTGCTTGGCCATACCCATTAAAGGCCTTTGTCAAGCCTGGAGAGCCCAGGCCTAAATTCCCATTGCACTGGGTCTTTATATACCTATTGCAGGGAAAAAAATAACAAACCAAGATCTGACGCACCAAGAATTACTTTTTAGAAGGGAAAGGATGAGGATGTCTGTTAATAGGGTTAAATCCTTGTAAAGAGATATAAAAAGACATCTTTCAAAGCGCGGAAGTAATATCTAAACAAGGCGAGCAGAAAATAATGTAAATTGTATAAATTCGTCGTTTCCCCTTCATCTTGAGCCCTGCCTGCAGCTGCGGTCCCCTCGTCTCCAGAAGATCTGGGACGAAGGAGGATGAGGATGGATGTGGAGATGAGCAGCACCCACCGAGGAGAGCCGAGACCACGCAGGGCTCTTCAGCTTAGAAAAGGGATGGCTTTAGGGCTGTCAGGCAGGTGGTCTCCACCAAAAAAACATGGTTTTTTCCCTCCCCCTCTCAATATATTCTAGCAGCTCAACTCATCGCAGGGTAGGGTTTTGGATCCCAAGCAGTTCAGGAGCTAATGAGGAAGAGAGCGGGGAAGGCAGTGACTCAGAGGCAGCAGCCGAGGGAGTCCCCGGCCGCTGATGGCTGGGAGCTGGCAGATAGAACCAGTGACTGTCATTACACACTCGCCTTGCTCTTGTAATTCCCTCCTTAGACACTGACAACTGCTCCCTGTCAGGAACGGGAGCGAGGGCTTGATGACTGCAGCGGGACCGGCTTGTATCCCCCAGCAGCCCCACAGCCCGGGGCAGGATTGCAGGAAGGCACCACTAAAAGCAGCAGAAATCCACCCTTCGGGCACATCTTCTTCCCCGCAGCACATTCAGCATCCAAGAGAAGGAGCATCCCCCTCTCCTCCAGCTCCCGGGGCAAGGAGCAGGACCTGCATCTCCTCGGCCGGCGGTGCCCGGGGATGGGTA